GCCTGGTGCCCGGCCGGACTCCCTCCGAGAGCGGCGCCCTGCGCCCCCAGCGCTCTCGACCCGGCCACCTCACCCTCACCGGGAGAGGACGACCTCGGCTGGTTGTGCGTTCTCGGGTCCTCATTTTGACGCTCCTCTGAAAGCACGTGCGGTTCGGGGCCGTTTACTGAGACATCTGCTTCCTCCTCCACCGGGTCCTGGGACGATGCGTTATGCCGATCGTCTCCCGAGGGTGCCGGTGCCGTGACGCCCAAGCTTTCCTGCCTAAGCCTCTCTCCCTTCATTGGGTCCCCTGCAGCTTTGCGTTCCGACCCACCGTCTGAGCCACCTTCCAAAAGCTGCTCCCCGGGCTTCTCTTCATGGAGCGTTTCTTTTGAGACAGAAACAACTGTTCCTTTTAGGTCACCTTCTTTGTTACCGAAGGTCGATGTCAGTGCTGCTCTGTCCTTTCCAGGAGCCGGCAACGAGTCAAGGTCACGGCTCTGAGCAGAACCGCGCACAGTCCCGCCTTCTTGCTTTTCATCCTCTGGCCCTTTCTTACTCCGCGGCAGGTCCGTCTGGGACCCCTCACCGGTCCTCCCCTTTCCTTTACTGCCAAGTTCTGCGTCCACTTCTGGGTCTTTGTCCTTGTTTGTTTCAAGGCCGTGTACAATCAAAAGACCATCCTCTGCCTTTTCAGACTCAACATAATCTGCCGCTAACTGTGGCTCCCCCCATTCGCCGTCTGGGACGAATGCATCATCGCTTCCCTCTGCCTCTGAACTAGAATTCTCTAAATCCATACTTATTTGTTCACTTTCTGTGACAGTAGCATCGTGTCTGATGCCAGGGGGCTGAGTTACCTCAGCCTTATTATCCTCTTCGCTTGAATTCTGCTCTTTATCTGGTGAATGTTTCTCAGCTCCAGATTCCAACGGCGTTTCCAGATCTTCATCCGTAAAGGTGAGTAACGGCAGCTCATCAAAGCTTTCTTGATCCTCTTCTTCCTTCCCAACTATGTAATACTCGTCATCTAAATCCTCATCAAAATCATCTTCTAATGAAGTAACAAGTCTGGTCGTCTCATCATCAGATACAAGAGCATCTGCCGTTGAGCCAAATTTGGTTTTCAAATCCAAAGTCATTTCTTTTTTCAAAAGCTTATAAGCGTCAATCTGCTCTTGTTCATTTGCGACCTGAGAACTGTTGCTGGTTTTGTTGTTCTGACTTTCCGGCACTTTCAGTTTCTCTTGTAGCATTTCTTCAAAATGGTCGAATGAAGATTCTCCCTGAGGGTCATCCGTCTGACGGTTTACGTGAGGGGGGTTCTTCCGAGCCTCGTGTCTTTCCTCGAGTTCCTCAGTGTTTTCGGAGAGTTCGCTTTCACTCTCCTCTGTATTGGCTTCTGCTGGGTCAAGGGCACTTTCTTCAGATACTTCCGGGTTTTCCACATGCTGAGAAGTTTTTTCTATAGCTTTCCCAGAGTCTCCAGTTGCAGACTCGGGCAATTTTAAAAATCCTAAAAGTTCTTCTATATTATAATTATCAAAATCATCTTTTCCCCCATCAAAACAAACAAAATCTGTCTCCTGTAAGGAAAAGAAAAACATTGGCGTGTTACTCGCTACATGTCACAAGAGCAGACTCTTACCCATGCTAACGACGGAGAGAGCCTCAAATCCATGTTTGGCTCTGGAGGGACTTTTGCGCCAACAGTGGGCAATGACTGTCCTTGGGTAGTCGGGGGACAGGAGGCTGGAGCCCCCTTTTCCTCGGCTTCCTGCCTCCCCGAGGAAGGGCTCCTACCTGAGTAATGCTCCTGGCTTCCCTTCCTTGTCTCTTCCCCAGGCAAGGAACGATCCCCGTGGCTAGCGCCACCCATTTTCTGGTTGGGACCAGCTGGAGAGAAGACACACCCTCTCTCCTCCATGCAGTCAGTTCTCTGGAGACAGTCTGCCTGGGGAGGAGGCCCCCCACCACCTGGCTCTGCCGTGGCTGGTTCGTTGAGTTTTTATAGACTGCCAGGTTCGAAAGCCCATTATTTCTGCACACTTGAGCCATGTTTGCCAAAAAGCTTTGTCCGTAAGTAATGATGACATTTTGGTCTCCATCCGCCTGACTCCTGTGTTTCTCAGTGTGTCCTGAGCTCAAGTGGGGAAAAGTGGGATGTCACTGGTTGGGTCCCCAAACTTCTAACATCTATGCCTGATGTTTGGGGGAATTCACCACATAATGATTTGTCCGGGAGAAGCCGGAAGACCATCTAGCTTCCTGTCACCCTGGCCTCCAGGCTGTGCTTCTCTGCTCACCCGGCCAGAAGCAGGCAGAATCACTTCGCTGTCAGGCTCTACGTGGACACAGAATTTTGGCTCATATTTCCCTTGGACTGGGAAAGATAAATCAGCTTAAGAGGTGTATGGGAAGGAACAAAGGCTGGTGTCAAGGGGCTCCCCACTTAATCGTTACAAGGATAACCTGAAAACACGGCTCAGCAAGGGACGTGCTCGACTCTAAATCCGGGTTCTTGGTGTCATTACGACCCGCTTTCGGGACTATCCGGAGGTCTATATTCTTCCTTTCCGCCATCAAAAACCAAGTTGACATAAAAGGGGCCACAGACAGAGAGAAAAACTAAAAGTCCAACGAAGACCATTTTCTGTTCCTAACTCAGCTTGCCCGTCCCTCTGGGGAGGATGCGTGTGCCCCTCGTGTTAGCACACGCGTTTCTAAGCCACTTGCTTACCACTGAGGGAAGCGTGCCCTGGGAGGTGCAGTGAGGGGGCAGAGTCCCCAGCGAGCACGGTCCCCGCCACCCATGAACTGCTGTCCCACGCTGAAATCCCAGAAGCCTCTTCCTTACAGTGAGGCCGGACAGGCGAACGGGTGGGTTTTATGGCCCTCGAGGTTATCGAGAAATGTGAACAATGGCAATGGCTCTGAGACTTCACCCGCTCTGCCAGCCTCGTCTAAGAACTGCCTGGGCCAGCAGCTAGCACGCTCTGCAGCCGCTCCCAGAGCTGCTCAGAGATGTCCTAATGAAGGTGGGCTTCAGTTACTATAAATCTTAAAATTCCAGAAAACGATTAGCTGAATGAGGATCCCGGAACACAAAAGCCAGGTGTTGACAGCTGTTTTACGTCAGTGCGCCCTAGCAGAATGCCTTAATGAGTGCGCAGTCAGTACCTTATGGATCTGAAACCCTCACGGTCCCTTCTCCACGTCTGTAACTATAATCCCTTAAATCGCTAAAGATTTAATAATAAGAAAAGCCTCATGAGTTTGCATTTCTGGCCTAGCACATAAGTTAGGGTTTGACCAATTTAGCCTGATTTCTATGTAATTATACTGTCTAGCAGCTGTTCATTGAGTTTTCAAATTGAGACACTTTCTCCTTTTGCTTCTAAAAAGAATTTTTTTCCTCGTAAATTTAATAACTAAATGCAAAGACACTGAATTCTTAATTTTATTCTCATATAAGCAGCAAAGAAAAGCTCCGTCTAGGAGTATATGGCCTTACATAAGAAGACCTGCTTTAATGTATTAGACAACTCTCAGATTATGATACAGTCTCCTATAAATTCTCTTCAAACTTTCCTCTCTTTTCTATTCTTAAAGGTATCTGACTTTAAATCTGATACATTTATGGTCAAATGGACTTCTTTTGACCAAAACACAAAGACTTTCAAAACTACAGCATGTCCTTGAATAACGTCTTGTTCGACGTTGTTTTGTTTTAACGTTGATGAGATGCATAGGAACTTAACTGTTGCTTATACTAATTAGCCTGTGATAAAGCTAGCTTCATTATACATCGTTTCGTTTAAAGTTGAAGAACCTATCGATGATGCTAAGTGAGGATTTACTGGAGTTAATAACTGATGAGTTTATAAGCCAAATTATAATTGAGAACCCAAAATAAACCCAAAAAACAAAAAAAACTTGCAACTTACGTCTGCTGGGACTTTCAGCTCTTCTTCAATATATTCATGGGCTACCCGAATAAAATCCTTCGGAAAATATCCAAAATTACGCCCAACCTACATAAAAGAATGGGTAAAAGAAACAAATATCAACCAAAGTTCTGAACAAGAAATGTAAATGAGAGACTTCTTAGTAGTAGAAGGAAATATACATATGCATAAACAGGTCAATAAAATCACAGGAGATACAGTCACTATTATGATTACAGAGACTATTATTCCAGTAACGATCAAGTACATAATATTGTAAAGCCAGCTTTTCTAAAACCACTCAAGTTTCCTTTCAACGTTCGGCTTAATTCTAAACATAGGGCACATAAAGATAGGTTTTTGAAGTCGATAAAAGATCTGCACAAGTGAAGATTGTTGTCTGTTACGTGGTTAAAACTATGCAAATCAAAGCTGTTAGAAACACAATTCCAAATAACCTCTGGCAGGCATCACCTGCTACATGGTTCACAGCACTGCTCATAAAGGCCAAGCGATAAACACCAGCCACGAAAATTCATAAGTAAAAAATTCAAGATTTCCGAAATGTATGACCAGCATAACAAAAGGCAAGTAGTTATTGGTATTATGGACTGTACTAGCTTTTTCAACAACGAGATTTTTGAGTATTTGAGGAGAAAATAAAATTCACAGTAATCTACATATCAAGCTTTAGCTTTATGCAAAGCAAACCTCTGTGGATCATCCCATTAATGTACAGCACTGACGGCTAAGGTATAAGTGTGTCTGCTTGAGAAACGTGCACCGTCTTTTACTAGCTACAGCCCGAAAGGACACCGTGGATCTTTACCCAGTCATTAAAAGAGACCGATACGCAGATCAAATGCACAGAAAGCAAAAAAGGCTCTTATCACTAACTCCTAAAATATCCTCATTACGAGTGCTTTTGTTATATGAGGCAGCCTGCTGAAAGCCAGTCTTAGTGGCAGGGGCCTTGGAGATTAGATAAAACAGGGCAATTAAAAACTGCCACATGGGCCGATAAAGTCTGAAACTCTAAGAAACCAAAAAAGACTGCAGGATGAAAACAAAGCGATGGAAACAAGAATCATTTCGAAGACTAAGGAGAGAGAATTTTTAATTTCCTAAAGTATAAGGTTCACCAATTGAGAGGGGAGACTGAGGGAAAATAGACTTTTTTCCTTCTCAGGAAAATGTTATTAAAAGAGAATCTGGAAAAGGAAAAGAAATCAAGAGATCTGTAGCGAAAGGAAATATCTGTGCGTAATCTCTGTCACTTGAGACCACAGGTTACATACAACTCCGCGTTTTTACACTGGGTGGTGTCCCGTTTCTTAGGAATCACGGCCCTCATGACCGGAAGTAATCCTTACATCTAATTTAGCTTCTATACGGCATCTCCGCCAAGGAACTGCTAATTTGATTCGAATATTGTTTCCAGAGAAGGGATTCTTCACAAGCTGCTATCAGGACAAATGTAATAAAGTGCCACTGCCCTGAAATATTCAAAAGGAAGATGGGTTACCCAGGGCCCTTCCATCCCTGAGCTTTTAACTTTACAGGAGCTAAGTCAGCACACACAGTAACTGCAACACAACGCAGTGAAAAACAGTTCTACGCGAGCAGGGCAAATAGTGCCACCTAAAGTTATCAGAAAGCAGAGGTCCCTTCTGGCTGGGTGCCAAGGGCATGTGTCCCAAAGCGGGCAGGGTGAGGGCTGGGCCCCAGAGAGACGGCAGGCTTTCTCGATGTGCCTCGGGTCATGAACCAGAGTGAGGACGTACACAATTGCGAGTTCACCTATCCCGATGCTCAAACTTAACCACTAGATGAGAAACGCAGCTAGGGACGTGGAAAAGAACTCCCAGGAGTAAAGATTGTTAAGAAATCTCATGTGGTAGACTTGAAAGAGGCAGGAGAGACGATTCTTTGTACCGAGAGCCTGAGCTGGGATTCTGCCTTTCAGGATTCCTCCCCTGTTCTTCCCTGTGGAGCTTTCTTAAGCCTTATTTTCTGTTGTTTGGTGTTTAATGCAAGTGTTCAGTCGGGACTGGGTGTTTCTCTAAATTTGGACAGTCCTAAGGCAATAGGGGACTCTTACTACTTTCAGTAAACAAACAGTCTACGCATCACACTCTTTAAAGAGGAAAGGACAGTAACTCATGAGCCTCTCAATCAGGTCACTCATTCAAAACATCACGGCACGAAGCTGCTGCTGCCCTCCCGTCTGCTGTCACCCCGTCACCCAGAGAACCGGGTTCCTGGGGCAGCTGCTGGGGAGCCATCGGGACCAAGTGTCTGAAGAGCAGGAAGAGACCCAGAAGTTGCAAACAAAAGAATAAGCAGGAAAGCAGAGTGAAAAAGACATTTTGCTTTTCTAACAGACTAAGAATGGCACACGTGTTCCCAAGGCTGCCAGTTTTTCACAGAAATTCATAATTCAGAAAAAAAAGGGAAGCACACAAAATCAACTTGAAGCGAGAATGGCCGGAATGGCATCTTGCGGTTTCCAGGAGGGAGTCTGCTGCTCGCGAATCTTTCCTTTTTGAAGCAGTGAACTGAAAACTTTGCAGCTTTCACCATTTTGACCTTTACTACGGATAGAACGTCCATGGCCGATCAGAGCCAGAACATGAGGCTGAGGACCAACAGCGGGAAGCGGTCAGTTCTGCCTCAGAAACTGCTAACTTGTCACCTCTGCACCAGGCCTGACCAACGCCTGCCAGGGGCCTAGAGCCACCTTCTTCGGTCCAGCAGAGGCGACAGGTTAACACCATCAAAGTCCCCAAGAAAACAATTATTTAAATCGACTGCGCTAAAGAAGCCAATAAAAAGTCGGAAAAGAAGTATGTCAAACCGTTACTTACAGTTCCAGCCCAAACTTCAGGCGCTCCCCCTGCCAGTTTGTAGTACACATACACATGGTCGCCCTTCTTAAAATTCACAAAACGACAGTCCGGGCCTGTGAAATCTTCTAAAGCCTCACCCCGGTACATCAACACTGCGTGGGAAGAGAGGAAAGAGAGGACCAGATGTCAGGATTCGGCTTTCACAGTCCGCATCGGTCTGTTAGGAAATGTAAGAACCCCCTGTAAGCAGCGGTCACCTTTACCCAATACTCTCCCGCACCAGTCACTTTCAGTTCATATGCTCAAAGCATCGAAAGACTTTAGTGCTTTATAGATCAGGACCCCCTGCGAGCAGGCAGCAGAGATTTTTCTCTACGAGCAATGCTGAGAAAAAGCGAGGTGGGCGCTGCCGCACGTGCCTGGTCTCAAGTGAAACTCTTGGGTCTCTAATGCCGCACGTGCCTGGTCTCAAGTGAAACTCTTGGTTCCCTCTCTCACTGTCTAGTCCTCAATCTCTGCTGTTTCGTAATCATAAAAAAGCTTCATTTTGGCACTTGGGTAAATGGAAGCGCAGACGCTGACTAGCGTAAGCATGGCTACGTGCTGAGGTGATTGGGAATTGGGGAAAGCACCAGGAACCCCTAAGGGGTCAATTAACTTGAACTAAGCACTAAAACGCACAGTCTCGAGGTGGCTTTAACTGCTGCCATGCAGACGTACACCATCAATTTTATCTGCGGCCAAGTTGCTTTCTCCTTACAATATCTAAATAAATTAACGGGAAAAGATGTCACACCCTGTTATGGATCAGATCACAGTAGAAGGTGGAATTTTCTGAAAGTAAATAATGTTGACTGTACCCGGCATTAAGAAGGTTTCGAAACAAAGTCAAAATACCCTTATTTACTTATTTCTACTTATTCGTACAAACAAAACTGAAAGAGGATATCACATGGGGCAGGGACAAGCAAAGCCGTGAGGACCGTTCAGTAGTTACTTTCAGTCTTACAGTGCAGGACTTAGATCACGCTCGCCCTAGAAACTGGTAGAAGCAGCGTTTTTCTTTCTATTGGCCAGATACACAGTTTGTGATGTAAGGTGAAATGGACAATAAATGCAATTAAATAGAGAAAAAGATGAAATGGAAATAACACTTCCTAAAAGCCCATCAGCAACAGATACATTAAAACGTATCTTTAAATACATATTTGAGGGACAAACAAATACATTTGAAGGGCGTTATTTGGATCTTGAAGATGAAATCTGATTATTTTAATACATGTAGGCATCCTAATTCAGATATAACTAGGTGTGAGGCCGAGTTGAAGGTGATGGACGATTTGAGACTGAGGACTATCAGATTGGAAATAGCAACGTTTCTTTTGTTCCTCCTTAGAAGAGATTATTCAAGATTTATGACAAGAAATGAGAGCATCATGCATACCGTGGAATGGCTAAGAAGGACACGCCACACAACACAGTCCCAGACCCTGCTCCGGCTGCTGCCTGCTGTGTTTGGTTACATCTGTTTGGACTCGTGCCATTTCTCAAATTATGTGACAACTAACGGCCCCTCCAACACCGTGTCCCCAAACGACATGATTCTCCAGGCACCTGGTTTTGAGGAACTCAGGCAGGGCAGTCCTTGAAAGCAAAGAATAACAAGCATTCCGCCATAGCCAGCCCTGCTTGCTAATAACCTGGGTTTGCTCCGAAACAAATAAAGGAAGAAATCGTGGAAGTTGACCTGCTTTGGTAGTGTTTATTTACGCTGGCCCTAGGTTTGCCTCCAGGAATGGCTGGACACAAATCAAAGACTGCCTTCTTTTCTTTAATGGTGTTGCAGTAATACAGGCTCTTCCAAATTATGAAATTTGTTTCTAAACGACACCAGTTAGAATGTAAATGGCCAAACTGTAGGCCCACGGCCTTTCCAGAATGAACATCTTTCTATACGTATCCATTACGGTTGATGAACGACCGATTCCGAAGCGGTTGTAAGTTACAAGGTTATTTGAGACCAGCCTGGCGGCTGTGTGATCCTGGTTGGGCGAACACATAGGAAGAGATTCCAACAACACAAGTGACTAAGGCTAAAGGTAGCTGGGTTTCTAAAACCCTTGGAGTATTTATTATTGTTACTTTAATAATACTCTTCATCTGAGTCTGGAGATCTCCGCTCTGCGCACCCCCCACCCCTAGTCCGATACCGGGGGACGATTCTGCTTCCTGCGTAAAGAAGAGGAGGCTGCGGGTCCCAGGTGGCCGATGCAGATCCTCGGCCTCTTTCCAGAACCAGATTTCGGCCTTGCTGGTGCCCCCCTGCCTGGCTGCCTGCAAGGAGACTTCCAAGCACAGAAATGACAGGACTGACGAGGAGCCGGGGCGGAGAGCTGGGAAGGCGCCGCAAGCCTGGATCCGGGCTCACCCCAAACCTGAACTACAACGTCTGTTCAAAGGCGGTTGCGCCCCACGTCCGAGTGAGGCAGAAGGGCCAAGAGGCAACGCCGGGCGCTTCTCCCCAGCTCCACCATCAGCCGGAGGCAGGGAGACTGCCCGCCGGGCCCCGAGCGCATCTACCCCGGGCTGCAGCCACCGAGGTCCCCGCGGCGGGGACAGGGAAGCGCTCGGAGGCAGCGTGGGGAGCCCTGGCCGCGCGGCCCCCACCCCATCTCT